CTTAGTTTTTTTTTAATTTTGATTCATTTCCGAACTGATGTATCTCGTGGTCAGAAGGAACTTTACTAGGTATGCATGCCAGCCTCTTTATAGTCTTGTTCGCTGCGGACGCTGGGGCGTGTAAAGGTAGCTGGGTTTGGTCCAGCACCAGCCAGTTCTCCACCATTTGTAGTCGCCTACCAGCTTGAGCATTTGGTGGTGAACGGTCTGACGCCGCGCTAAAGCCACTCCTGACACCCCCCCCCCCAGCATCTGCAGCGGATGAGACTGCAGCTGCGTGGAACGAACATACAACAAGTAGGACATAAGGTACCGAAATCACCCTTCAACAATAAAATTTCTTGACCAATGGATCACCCCGCAGTACCGATCTATATGACGCTACCCCAGCTTGTACATCTCCGGTAAAGCAATGAGGTGACGGCACGGCTATCTCACAATACCCTTCCCTTTCTATTGGGATCATCGGGAGTAATCTAAAGCGCCTCGAATGTCTTGTGCGCGTGATCTTGGCTTCATTCATTAATACGATCGCCGTGATGTTGAACACCATGAGCTTGAAGCGTAGGTTTTGTGACTTTGTACGTCTCCTCAGATGTCCCTCAAGCCTCCCGGACAAACAAACGAAGATCTATCCCTCCGTGTTTGTAGTTCAAAGCCGGGAGATGCGGTAGGAGTGGCCACCTTCATTTGAACGGGTCCGGGTGGGCCTATGACGGAATATACTCATTTCGGTCATGCATTTGTCCGATTCTATGCCATGATCAAATAAAGCTTGCAGCCACGCCTACCGCGCCTTGGGGATGTGAAGAGTACCCGTTGGCACAACTCTGATTGAGTATCGAGTAAATTACTGCTACGTTCATGCGCTGATTCTTCTGCTAAAGTTGCACATCCGTACAGTACCTCTCACCCACGTTGTATCAGCTTTTCTGCAGTCTGTACGTGAACAGTAGTTCCAGTGCTGTTCTCTCAGAGTTTCAGCTCAGAGTATCACTGAGAGCGCGTTCATACTTCGCGAGTGGATCGCGTAGTATAAACGCGCTCCCAGTGATATGCGTCGGAATCTTCTTTTGATAGTTGTGTTTTGCCGCCCCGAAACTTTGTGAACCTGGTAAATCTCGTTCATTTTAGGAAAGGTTAGTCGAAAGGAGTCCAGTTCTTCGGGTAAGATGCGTCCACATCCAACCGTGAGTGTTTGACAGCTCCACCTTCTGATTTTAAGACCAAACGTGGGAAGTTTCAGATTCCCTCGATAGCCCCACCTCCTCCTAGTGTACTGGCTGGACTCTCGGTACCAGACGAAGCGGAAGCCTTATCAAGTATGCTCATGAGTTGGTACATGAGCGGTTATCATACGGGATATTATCAGGTAGTGAGGTCTCATACCACTTTGTGTTTCTTCCATTTCAAACAATGTTCTAAGTTTCATTTCCTGGAAACATTGCCAAAATTGAGTCTGATTGTGAGAAAGAAATCCAAGTGAAGTGGCCACTTC